GACCGAAGTAATCATGGCTATGCTGAGCCGCAGAGTAGGCCGAACTATTCTTAGTTCGGTTCTTCCTTTCGCTACGTCTTATCTCGGTTCTCTCATGTACAAACCATGGTGTGTTTAGACCGAGCTACCGATTAGCAAGGTTCTGACTGTTCTAACCACAATAGGCCATGACCGGGCTAACTCTGAGACCGGCCTAACTCCAAGTCGCTTCCGGACCGGAGTAACATTACATTTCTCTCGGTGCCGGAGTAATTTTGTACCCCTCTTGGGCCGGAGTAACTTTACGGCCTTTTTACTCAGCCCTTCGTACTGTGGGCCATAATGACCATCTCCCAACTCGGCCTAATTTTCACAAAAATTACCCTCTCAGTTTTACACTTAAAATGACGTCATTTTGAATGTTTTGAACTATTCGAACCACATTTTTTCAAGCCACCTAGCATTATTGATCCCAAAAAACAAGTCTAACCTGCTATAAATGAGGAAAAATGCTTCTATTAAAATTTTTCTTAAATATTTTATATGTGTAAGACTCATATTCATATGAATTTTATATTCATATAAGATATTTAATAAAAAATTTAATAGAACTTTTAAATTTTTTTATATTACTCAGAAATGAAGGAAATTTCCCTAAATTTATCCCGAAGGAAAATTACTCCATCACTTTACATGAAACTAGAACTCATAATTTTTAACGACCGATTTTTGTAGAGAATTCAACTAATGTTACAAAATCAAGTCGAGGAATGCGATTGTTCTTCCATATGGATCTTCTATAGAGAAGTTCACTGTGTTTGGTTAGAAATTTGAGAAAATAAAGGAAAAAATATATATGAAATTAGGTGAAATGTTTTATTTTTACCTTTTAAATTTCTATTCATATCTCTCAATTAAATATAGCGTTAATATTAAGAAATCAAATCAAAGAAATGACAAAACACCATCACTAATTTTTCATATGAATTTTCTATGGAGAATTTTAATGATGGGTTGAAAGTATATTATTACGTTACAAAGAATGTTTTAATAATTATTTTTGACTTCTCATATATATTTTCAAGGGTAAATTACATTTATTACCTCTGAAATTTCTAATAATTATACAAACCTCCTTTGGGATTTTAATAATTATAATAACTTTCTCTATTTTTACTCACATTACCAAGATTTTCCAAAAAGTATACTGTCCATTACACTTAAGTGACAAATTGCTGATGTCACTAATTATGAAACATGAAATGCCAGTATTGCCCCTGCCTTCAAGTCATCTATGTATTTTAAAAATTTTATTAAAACTCTAATTTATCAAAAACATATTTTTCTGTAATTTTTTGACTCAATTTTTTTTCACTCCAAGTTTTTAAACTTTTATAAATAAAAAATAAAAAATCTTTTTTTTCAGATTAATGGAAAAAATAATAATAAAATAAAATAAAAATTCTAATGAAAATGATAAATTAATTTTAAGATTTAATTTTTTAAAAAATAGTTTTAATGAGATAAATAAAGATGGGGAAATATATTGTAAGTGTCATACATAACAAATTAATTGAGTATTTTATTATTCTCAGATAATTTCTTCATGTAAGTAATGTTTAATTGTTTGAATTACTTATTATTCTCATATGATTTCTAGATTCTTCAATCCCTATTAACTAATTTTAATTTATTGTAATGGATTAGATTTTTTTCACTTTTTTTAATAACTTGAAAAATATTGACTTGCCCTTTTTTAAATATGCATCAATTATAAGTTTAAGGGCTCAAAAATTAAAATTAAAATTTGAGAATATTATATGATTGCGAAAAGATACTAATTTTCTTACATATGAATAAATAGTGCAAATTGTTGAGAAAAAATAAATTCATTTGTTTCAATTTAAAATAATAACAAATATGCATTAATTAAAATGATAAATTTTACGTTGTTTTCAATCACTAAAGTATATATAAATCAAAGTCTATCTAATCCCTAAACTATTAATTGAATCTATTAAGTCTCTAAAGTATTTAATTCCAACATGTTTAGTTCCTGAAAGAATTATAAAAATAAATATATGTTCATAAGTATTATAAATTAGTAAAAAAATCTTATCTAATTAATAGTTTATTATAGAAAAATCTTAATTTTTTTCTTTAAAAAGTGCCTTATTTTGTTGTATCTTTAAATTAGTGTTAGAACATGGTTTTTCAATCTTATCAATAAAATTATATGAATATTAGATCTACGGAAGAAGTAAAATTAGATAATTTAAATAATAACACTTCACTACAAATAATAATAGAATAAAATAATACATGAATTAAATTATAAAAAGAACTTAGCGAAAAAACCTTAAAAATAATCAATTATAAATTATAAACGAAATCTGATATATATTATTGGATAAAGGTAAACACGTAACCATGGTAAAAGATAAGTAAAAAAATACTATAGATAATTACTCTTACAATTGTAAAGAAAATTCACCATAGGAATTGATGCTCACTTATTTTAACTAGATAGAATCTTTACTAATATATAATACTTATGAGTTTATATTTTAATTTTATAATTCTTTTAGGGACTAAATAGGCTTGAATTAAATATTTTAGGAATTTAATAGAATCAATCGATAGTTTATGAATTAAATAGATTTTAATTTATATACTTTAAGGAATTAATAAACTCAATTGATAGTTCAGGAACTAAGCTTCGTTTAGGATGTGGGTTGACTTTTTGACTTTTTAGCTATTTTAATTTAGGGTTAAAAAATCTCGTTTGAGATGGGTATTTTGCTTTTTTTGACTTTTGCGAGAGAAAATATGAAATTTATTATGGTTTGGATCTAACACTTTATCTTATTAACTTTTTAACTTATTTTGTTTTTTTGTGTTAAATTGGCCAAAAAAAGCATGCCAAACATATAGACAATTTGATCATAGTTTTATGGGTATAAAGTATAAGAAATCCTAATTTAGGCCTCGTTTGGGAACATGATTTTTTTAGTAACTTTTGGCTTTTTGGTTAAAATGTGATGTAAAAAAACTAGTATGTTTGTAATGACTTTTTAACTTTTTACGAAAAGATGTGCAAAAAGTAGAGAGAAAATGGAATCTTTGATTTTTTGGTATGGATTGTTGGCTTTTTAGTTTTTTTTAGTAATTTTTTAGCTTTTTGGCTAAAAATGACAGTTGCCAAACGAGGCCTTAATATAAGACTTATTTTACACTATATAAGGCCTCGTTTGGTATGTACCTGTTTTAGTCTAAAAGTCAAAAGGTTACTAAAAAAATTAAAAAGTCTATAACCTATATCAAAAAGTCAAATATTCTTTTTTTCTCTACTTTTTGCACATCTTTTCGTAAAAAATTAAAAATTCATTCCAAATATACTACAATAATATTTTTTTTACCCCATATTTTAATCAAAAAGCAAAAAAATTACTAAAATATCATATTCCCAAACGAGGCCTAAGTCTGATAAGTCTTATATTAATTATTAGGGTCTTATATTAAATTACTAGTGTATGCCCGTGCCTGAAGGCACGGTGTAATTAATGATAACATTAAAATATAAATCAAAATTAGGGAGTGATGTATTCAAATTTTTTGTTTTGTTTTGTTTTGTTTTGTTTTTTTCTCTTTTCAAAGGGTAGGTAATGAATTAACGGGAAGGAGAAAAATTCCTAAATGAAGACATGAAACTTAAATGAAACACCAATTTATTAGTAATCCAAATAAATTTAAGGAACCCCCAAAATTAGGAACATCCATGACTCTCAAAATGATGTAGACCAAATAAATTGTATTTTTTTTAAGAAAATGTAATATTTTCGATATTTTTAATAAAAAAAAAAAATCTTCCCAAGATAAATTGCACTTCTCCCAAATTGAAATACTTCCTATCAGAACACAGAATATACATGTGTGTATAGGTAAGTTGAACTTGTGTTTTGTGCAAATGAATAAAAATTAATGCTGTGTTTGGTTGGGGGATTTAAGGAGGGATTTGGAAAGGGAAATGGAAAAGGTATGTGAAATGTGAATAAATCATGCCTATATTTCACATAGTTTCACACACTTTTCCCTTTTCCTTCCTAAATATCTCTCCAAATCCTCCAACCAAACACAGCATAAGAGAGGATGTTATACGAAATGGTTCATTTAGGGTTCATTAACATACCCTGACCCTGCTTACATTTAGGGGTGTGCATAAAAATCATCCTCTCATAATTCCACGCCAACTCAAACCAATCTGAGCAGTTTGAGAAGACGCAAGCAAGTTGAGCTGATCGGATTAGTTGACTTGCAGTTTAAAATTTGTTGACCTGCCTACAAAACCAATCCAATAACGCTTGAGCTTAGGAGTGACAAAGGAAAACTCCAGAAGAAGCATTAGCCACTTGGTTAGCCATCAAAAAAGCTCTGTGCACAGCTAAAGCCTCCGATTGGAAAACTGAAGTAGCTGAGACATGTTCGTTGATAACATTAATCCAAGATCCAAACACAGCCTTAGAGTGGTGACATCCACTGTCCATGGATTAAAATAGCCTTTGAAAGCAGCACTGCCTGTTCGAATAAAGATCTGTGATGTTCTTCTTTCTCTATAGGAAAGGGAGAATGTTATACATGGTCTAAGTCTTTGGTGAGAATTAGAAAAATTCTCCTAACAGTAACATCTATTAACTTCAAAAGCAAACTTGACAACATTGCACTGTACCAGCTAATTCATATTTCAATCATCTATCAAATGTATACATACATATTGTGTGATTTCAAAAAAATTCCATTTGGAAATACATATTCTCAAGCAACTGATTGAAGACAGACGAAAAGAGAAACTGAAAAAAAAAGAAATTAAAAAAATTAAAAAGATTGTCAACTTTATACAACAATTATGATAGCAAAAACTTCCAATTATGAACTGGCAACATGTGACTTCGGATGCCAGATGCATTACATTCTTCAAGCAGTTGAAGGATGTTATGTTCAGGAGCACTGATAGATGGTAGAATCATACGGTTAGATGGGCGCCGTGGTTTGGGTCCCACAGACTCAGATTCCATGGGGGTCCCCTCTTGCATAACTGGCAAATCGGCCCTCCTCCGCACCCCTGTTCCTGCAGATACTCGCTCCTTCCATATTCGTCCGTCCTGACATTTAAGGAAATTAACAATAGGATTTCAAACACAGTAGGTTTTATCTAAGGAGGATTCACATGGACATTTCTTTGTGGTTTGTTTATATAAACATTCAAAAGATTAATCACTGTGTATCACTCTGTTTATGTTAAAGGAATAGTTTTGGTTGTCATAATATTCAGAAAATTTATATAAACATTCAACTAAGAAGTTGGGATTAATCTTCTATTTTGGAGTTTGAACAGACAGCCCCAAAGAACATCAATTTAAACCATAGAGACAAAATAAAAATAGAGCAGATTGTTTGAATAACTTGAAACCAACATTTGAATAACCTGTTCACAACCCTAAAATAACCTATTCACAGCCCGATAGAGAGAACGCAGAACAGCCCAAGAAATCGTGAGAAAGTGACAGAAAATAGTAGAAAAATAGGGATCTGATAAACGAACTCAGAAATTAACAGTAGACAGCCCAAGAAATCACGAGAAAGTGATAGAAAATAGTAGAAAAATAGGGATCTGATAAACGACCTCAGAACTCAGAACTCATAAATTAACAATAGATCAATTGAAAGAGGGGAATAGAGACAGGAATATTACCTTGCACAGGTAGAAGCCTCGGGTTTGGTGTAGCTCTGAAGTAGCTCTTACCTTATGCAAGAAGGCTTACAGTCGGCTTTCTTACCTTATGCAAGAAGGCTACTGCTTCAAATTGCAAACTTACAAAACTCCCGAGATAAGAAACACACTACCCAAGAAAATCTGCAAAATTGCAAACATGAATGTTACAAAATAAATAAATAAAAATAAAAAAATGTAGAAAAGGGTAAAAGCAAAGATCTTTAAAAGAAATAAAATAAAAAACATATCTAAGATGAGACCACTATTTGATTCAAAGGAAAATATTCGCATTAATTTTCCCCCAATTAGCTAAATTTCCCAGTAAAACTTGCGGAAATTGGACTACAAAATAACATTTTTCACAGCATATTAAGCCAATAACCTATTTCACGGCATATTAAGTCTCAACCCTAGACCAACTACGCCTCAAAATATATATATAAATATATATATATGTGTACATATATACGCAATCAGACTGAGAATCATGTTCGATCTATGAAACTACCCATCAATCTCCAACACCCAAACTCTAGTCGCTGCACAAACGCCTCAGACTTTGGTCAAATTGATACCAACATAGAAAGAAAAGAAAAAAAAAAAAACACCATTGAAAATAATAAATCCATAGGAAACCTGAGTGGGCTTTCTTACCTTATGCAAGAAGGCTTATTGCTTCAAATTGCAAACTTACAAAACTCCCGAGATAAGAAACACATTACCTAAGAAAATCTGCAAAATTCCAAACATGAATGTTACAAAATAAATAAATAAAAATAAAAAAATGTAGAAAAGGGTAAAAGAAAAGATCTTTAAAAGAAATAAAATAAAAAGCATATCTGAGATGAGACCACTGTTTGATTCAAAGGAAAATATTCGCATTAATTTTCCCCCAATTAGCTAAATTTCCCAGTAAAACTTACGGAAACTGGACTACAAACCAACTACGCCTCAAAATATATTTATAACTATATATATATGCGTACATATATACGCAATCAGACTGAGAATCAGGTTCGATCTATGAAACTACCCATCAATCTCCAACACCCAAACTCTAGTTGCTGCACAAACGCCTCAGATTTTGGTCAAATTGATACCAACATAGAAAAAAAAAAAAAAAAAAAACACCATTGAAAATAATAAATCCATGGACTTTGAAGGAAACCCTAGACGGAAGATTTGTGTAATTAACGAAACCCAAGACATTAGAAAGATTGAGAAAAGACATGCATACCTGTTTCACAACAGAACGGAACCCGTCGAGCTAGAGCCGTGAATTTTGTACTCAGCTTCTCTCTCTAGAAACTTCGTTGATTATCTGTTAATATATATATATTACTTTGCAGTAGCTCTTACCAATGGGGGTTCAGAAAGGTATCGCGGTTCTTAATCGGAAACCCTAGCCTTCAGAAAGCGAGTGGGAGGGTTGCCTCAGGTTTGGTGTAGAGGGTGGGGGGAGAGAGGGAAAGGCATAGATTGGGTGAGAAAGAAGGAGAGAGGTAGCGTCTCTGCGAAAGGAGGGAGAGGGGGAGAGGCAGCGAGTGAGAGGGTGGGGGGAGAGGTAGAGATCGGGTGAATTTTATCTGTTGACAGTATGATTATCTGTTCATGTTCATATGTTTCAACTGCTAATTGAAGGCCTTATTGGCGGCCGAATCCGAAACCGTTTAGTGTTCCGTGACCCTCGTAATTAATGTGAATTTTTGGTGTATTTACCTGAAAACTGATTAGGTATGATTAAATTAGATTAAAATAAGCTAATTAAAGAGTTTGACGCAATTACACTTTTGCCATCTAGTGGGGCCTTTGTTTACTCATACTTGAGCCTTGTGTATGCTTTATCAAAACATTCCTTCAGCTCATTTTGAGCACATCACCAACCTTGAGGGAGAGAGGGAGAGAATAGAATTGCTCTTAGGGGTTTGGCTTAGTCAACTTGAAGAATTGCTTGAAGATTGAAGTGTGGATTGTTAATTTGAACCTCTAGACTTGCATTCAAGGAACCTAGGTATGAATTTCATTCTTTGATTTTGTCTTTAAGTTGATTCATGCATGGTTCATGTTAATTTGTAGAGCTAAGTCATGATTTGGTCCATTAATGGTGGATTGAAGCTCATTTCTTGCATGCATGTTAGTATTGTTGCATTTTGAGGTTGATTACATGGACATTAGTACATGCATGCTCATATTGTTGTTATAGACCATGTTTTCATCTGGTTTTGAAAGAAATGAGCTCATTTGATCAAGCTTTGGAGCTTTAATTTGGTTTAAAAACTCAGCATGTCATGTTTGAGGATTGTTCTTGGAAAATGGTTTGAATTGGGTTTGAATAAAACACCCTTGGGCTTTGATTTCTCAAATTGAGCTTTGAATCATGTTATTCCATGTGTTTATAAGAGTTTTCCAGAAAATGAGCCCAAGAGGATCGGTTTTGATGCATTTAAACTTGAGTTTGAGCTTGGAGGTGCAATC